GACCCCCTCGGATGGGGGTTTGAATGTCACCCTACAGAAAAGGCTGCTAAAGTTTAAAACCTGCTGCTCTTTATAAAAACAATTTAGTAAAAAAAATGTATTCTCCTTGAGCACTCAATCTGTTCTATACAACATTCACAGATTCACACCCATTCATACAGGCATTGTTTTCTATGCGTTTTCCAGGGAAGCGCTTTCTATCTAACATTCACGCTCCAATTGATCCATCAGAGTGCAACTTGGGGGTTAGTATCATGCCCAAGGATATTTGGCATGTAGACTGGAGCAGCCCAGGATCAAACCCCCAACCTTCCGATTAATAGATGTCCTGCTCCAACAATTACTTATTCTTTCCTAAATGAACCTGTACAGCTCTATATTGTTGTACATTTCATAAAGTTAGAACACTGAATGCCTGTCAGAGATTTATTATACTGTCTGTGTTTCTTTCTATGGTCTTTCCACCATCTCAGCTCCTGACAGCTTCCTGCCATCCCACCCCGTTTTTCTTTTTCTCTCCCTTAAAGCATAATTTTCCCAGGAGACCAGGGAACTAGCCTAAATACAGATTTCATTATTACATTAACCTCTATACTCCCAAATTTTTTCATAATGTTTAGTGAAAAAAAGTTGTCTTTAAAGCAATACATTAAATACAAACAACCTGTAAAAAGTTGACATCATAACATATAAGCACAAGATACTAAAACTGTAAACTATGTCATATCAGGAAAAGAAATGGACTTGAAGTACACAGTACTCAGTAAATACTACATTAACTTTAAAGTTTAACGTTTAGGATTACAAATTTAAAGAAAGCAATAATTAAATTGAAACCACCAAAATATATAAGGTCCATTCTAATTGCAAGTATTGTAACTCTCGATACTTTAAAAGTGCTAGCAATATTTTTATCTAATGTAGTTTCCATTGACTGTACACTGTATGTTGTATACTTTTATACTTTTAGCTCTCTTTTGTGGATGGAAGCAGAGCTGGAAGCTAACACGGTCACTTAGTGGTGAGGGCGAGTTGTGTATTTTTCTTTAGAAAAAAGTCTGTGACTCCATTTGTTATTAACTTTGTGTTTTGAGTGACAGGATGTCTCCTCATTGTCACAATGTTGAAATCTATCAGGAGATGTATGTGCAGAGTATTATTGGATAGAATACTAAGTCTCAGTATCAAAATCAAGACGACAATAGCTTGTTACAGAGGTGCAAAGACAACAGGTTGTTTCTGTCTGAACTGCTGCTGCTTTGCAAATGCTGCACAGTTATAAAATACTGGAAAGAAGAGCAATGTTAATTCATGTGTAACTGTGACTTTTCCAGTTTTCTGTCACTTTTACTAGAAACTGAAAGTTTTTCATTCTTAGCATAACCACAGCATTCATAAATTTAAGAAAAAAACCATCTCTCCTTTGTACAAAACAGCTTTCAGCTTGAACTCAATGCAGTATTTTGGTGGGATATGAACTTTCCCAGGTAACAATCGTACTGTGCTGTGATTCTTCTACAGCCATTTATTTTGTTAATCAAATACTGCTATGGAGACACCCATCAATGTTTCAATGCACCTTCTGCACTCTGTTCAGGGTCATGAGTGGGCTAAAGCCTACCTCAGCATGGTTTAAAGATGAGGTGCACTTCTGGCAGCTTAACATAACAAGTGTTTTAACATACATGGAAAAAGTTGTTGCACTCCAATTTGCACTGTGGTAAGAGTGAAAAGTTGAGCACTACCTGTTTCTTCCAAAAAACATAGTTTTTATGAAGATAAATACTATGTCTGTGTGTATTCATATCTTTTTGGGGCCCAAAAATTGGAAGTTTACTATATTTGTGGGGCCCAACAGGCCTTATGGTGCCCAAAATCCTGGTCCGCACAAGTTTGAAGGCGTTTTTGAGACTCAAAATGTGGTTTTAGTGACAGGGTTAAAATTGAGTTATTGTTAGGTATAGGGTAAGGGTTAGGCATTCATTTTTCATGGTTAAGGGTAGGGTAAGTGGCTACAGAAAGCATTATGTCAATTAGATGTCCCCACAAGATATGAATACCCAACATG